ATGCTTCATGCTATGATTAAATTGGATCGACTACTCTCATATCTTGGATTCCAACTAGCACAACAATAGGTTCTTTATGGAGCTGGTTCTTTCCAGTCTTAAAAAGGAAATTTAATGAATGAAAAGAGATACAATGCCAGAAAATGTTTTTTTTAAAATATTTTACCCCACCACCAGAATGGGCCTTGCACAAAATTTACAGAGCTTTCCAGATGCATCCTGGGGATGGCTCAAGTTTTGCTTTTGTTGGTAGAATCAGTATGATTTTGATGGGTTCCATTCTTGCCAACTGCTGCTTGAGGCAATAAATCCATCACTATGTGGATTTGATAGGATCTGCCATATAGGTATAGTACAACGTAACATATAATGAAAATCCTTCCATTCCCCACTATCCTGTCAGAGCTGAAGAAGCTTCTTGGATGAGAAGTGAAATGTCTTCAAAGAAAAAACAAGAAAGTCCAGTTGCCTCCTGAAAGAGCCACTTTTCATAGACATCTTAGTAGCAAAAGCAAACCAAGAACACGCAACATGTTTGAAGGATACTAGATTGGGAAAGACACTCCTAAACCATGATATAGCAGTCTACTCATGAGTTTTTGTAAACATCAAATACAGGTGGCCATCAACTTACAACAGTTTGTTTTGTATTGTCACCTCCTTTTATGATTTTTCTCCAGCTCAGGTACTGCACTGGTTGAATGGAAAGGGGAATAAAACCCACCCAACATTAAACTAGACCCTTTAAAAATTGCCTTTCAGACAGATGATGCATAGAAATGAGAAACTGGATAGATGGACTTGTCAGGCCTCTGTTCACCATCAAGTCTTTAGTGGGGCATAGTATTCAAGTAGAATTTCCTGTAATGCCTCAACAATGCAAAAGGTCTGTGCTCTGCATAGAACAAATAACAAAAGCATCCAATTCTTATTTTGTACAAACTGGCAGTACCATGATTAATATCTACTAATTTCTGTTTGCAAGACAGAATAATAAAAGATAGCATGTTCTCGGTTTGCTTTTGCTACTAAGACATCTATGGGAATAATAAAAGAGGGACATATTGGCTAGATTTGTGCCTGAAAATTCTAGACCGGTTCTAAAGCAATTTCCCCTTTGTGGATGTGATGATGACTTTGGGAGACGGCACCTACCTATTTGACAATCTTCTAACCTGCATGGCTAAAGTGGGAAACATAGTAGAAGACTAGGTGGGAGAAGAATACAAGGTGGGCAACATAGAAAAGAAGTGTAGTCATTTTGGACTTCTTACAGAATCATAGAATTCTTTATTGGCAAGTGTGATTGGACACACAAGGAATTTGACTCTGGTGTATAAGCTTGCAGAGTACATATAAACAGCAAGTACTAGGTCATAGATCATAATAAACAACAATTGATAAATCATAAGAAACCAATAGGAGAAGATAGTAGGACAGATGAGAGGATGAGAAAAAATATACTCCCCAGATATGAAAGGAATTAAATTACCTATTTTGTTATGCAGGATTTAGAAAATAAACTAAGAGAAAAAGGAAGAATAATGGAGGATCTTTCGCTTTCCTTTTATTGAAGAATATGTGGTGATGTGTTTTTGTTCCCGTAATAAAGAGACCTACATCTGGGTGTGGTATACCACTATGCTTTTAGTTGCAAACAATTTGCTTACCTGGTGTTTTCTCACTGGCTCCTTTTTAAACTGGTGTGGAAACCACGAATCACCAGAAAAGCTGCAACAGTTGAAAAAGCTGAATATGATCAGAATAACAAGAGTTGAAAGGGATCTTGGAGATCTTCCTAGTCCAAGCTCCTGATCAAGCAGGCTACCCTATATCATTTCAGACAAAAGGTTGTCCATCTCTTCTTAAAGAAATCACTCTAAAGCACGGGTGTCAAACTCATGGCGTCACATTGCTGTCACATGATGTTTCACAATGTTTTTTCCTTCGCGGAGCTGGAGTGGGCGTGGCCTGCACATGACGCATCCGTCCCATGGGCCACCAGTTTGACACCCCTGCTCTAAAACATGCTGGCTGGGGGATTCTGGGAGCTAAAGTCTACTCATCTTAATGTTGAGAAATTTTACTATAAAGTCATAAATGGCAATTTAATTGAACTAAATGGCTCAGATCTGGATAGATAAGCCCCTTCTTATGTGTACTGTATTATCACCAGCTGCAGTATTTGGAACAGGATACCAAATAATGGAACACCCTTTTAGAATCCATATGATCCATTTAAAAAACAAGTTGTTATTGTACTTCATTTTAATTTTTGAACTTCAATTCTTTCAAGTTGGGATTGAAATATAAGGGCATGATAGTCAAGCCATTACTTCCCCCATTTAGAAACTGTTACTGAGTGGGAGGTTAATAAATCTTATAAGGAAGATTAAAATTACCCAAAGAATCTGGAACTGATTACTGCCCTAGTAATAGAATATAAGACCAAATAACACTAATGCAGAAGATTGATTAATCAAATATGTTTACATTCTTAATATAAAAAAGCTTTTCTATGGGACTCCAAATTTTACTGAAGCCAAAGAGTTCAGAAAAGGAATATTTTAATTTAATTTTTAAACTAAATTATACAATCCTGCTTTTCCACTAACTCTTTAGGACCTATTATTGATCAATACAGATTGGATAATATTTAGACAGAAGGTAGTGGCACAAAAGACATTTAGCCCAAAACATCAGAACTTGGTGTCCTTCACAGTTGGTTTTTATGATTGATAATCCCAAAACATTGAGGTTCAGTTCACATTACACTTTTATTTGTGGTTAACCACGATCTATTTATTAACATTTCTAGGCTTACATAGCAATTGAAGTATAAAAAATATGGCTAAGGATGTGGTACATATACAACTATCAATCAATTTCTTCTAGAATAAAATTAGTGATTAAATTAATTGATTTCATCCCAATGTTTTATTTTGGCTTTACAACCCAAAGTTAGACTCTATCTTCCGACTATATGGGAACATAAGAGTACTTGCACACATATATTCTTCATACTATGTGTAGGAATTGTAGTTAAGAATCACATTATAGCTCAATACTAGAATGCAGCAAGTCTTCAACTTATTGGCTAGAACTCACAACTGGTCTATTATGGATTTTAACAAGAGAACTATTATCCTGCCACATGTATTGTGCATATTACACTCACTCCATCAGATCCCTGATCTCACCATCTTCTAATAGCCTTACTAGGAGTGACAGATGGATGAAGTAACTTGAAGAAGACAGCCAGTCCAGGCTGCTCTTGAGATAGCCGTGGTTGACCTACATTAAGTGTAAAACCCCAACCACCTCTGTTCCAAGAAGCACTTTTTTTTTGAAAAGCTACTTCTGTGTACGTAGATTTTTATCAGATGAAAAACTTGTAGGAAAGAGGAAACCACACATTGGGGTCAATATTTAGGGCCAAAATAAGCATACTACCACCAGACACATTTTGTCAAGACATCCTGAATAAATAACATGCTCAGCTTCTTGAATGTTGAAAAGACAGTTGAACTGACCTATCATCTTATCCCATCCCATATCATTTATTTTATACACTTACAATGCCACCTCAATTGCAAGACTCAGTTGGGAGGGAGGGAGGGAGAGAGAAAGAGAAAGGGAAAGGGAGGTTAAGTCACTAGGTTAAAGACTGTATCCTACCGTAGGCACAAAGCCAGCTTTGGGCTCTGTCAATCCTAGGAAACAGGTAATGGCAAACTAATTCTGAAATCTTGCCAAAAAAACTGCAGGGATTCCTCCGGGCAATCAGGTCAAGGAGTCAAGTCAAGTCATGTGTATTTGATGCTAAAATCAGACCTTCTATTCTACCTATTTTATATAGGTGAAAAGAATAAATATTCATACAAAATAAAATTGCCAGTAGCATATCTGATTTCACACAAAGCACAGCTCTTAGCTGGAGCCTATGCCTATTTTGGTTCTCCCAAAAAGAAAGAAAAAGCTTATTAAAATGAAGCATGTTTTCATCATGTTTTATTTTCTTATATTTAATACATTGATTGTAAGTCTTAATATGACATATGAGTTTTATATGACAATAAATTTCAATAAATTTGGAGTGAGATTTGTTAAAATCCTAGAAAAGGCATATTCATTTCAATATGTGCTGAAGAGAAGGAAAGTGGGACATTCACTGCATTTTCACATAAAAGCTCCCATTTTCTGTAAATTTTCATCCTATAACCTGTGAAGTGATGAATATTTTCCAGCACTTGCAAGCTGTATAGAGAACACTGATTCTCCATGAATCTTATTTAAGGTCAGTATTTTCAGGACTTTCCCACAAATGGTCAGTAGCTGAATTTGAGCACAAGCACTCAAAAACTGAGTATATCTTCTGTTTTTGAACACTATCATTTTACTACAAAGGCTGTATGAGGAAAAAAATCTACACAAAATCATAAACTATTTTTTCCAATAGTTTTCCTAATCAAAATAACAATTCAACACAAATTTACTACATCTGTGTGTAATTGTGGGAGAATTCTGGGGCTTATTTCTCCCTTTGTATCCCTTTTCATCCCTTTTGTAGACACTTGGCACTACCTAAGGGCAAATACTTAAGAGATTTTTACACATGATCAAAGCCTTAGGCAAAACACATTTGAGGATGCTTCCAACTAGATAACTCCTAGTAACTAGTAATCAAATTAAACTGTCCTCTTTTCCATCTTTTCAGTTCCTGAAAGGTAGGCCAGTGCACTAAAAGGGGTTCCCTGGGATGTTTGACTGACAAATGGAAATTGTTTATTATTCTCATTTTCCTCATGCCTTAAACACTCTTTTCACAGTATGTGTAATGGCTTTCTCCCATCAGTCTGCATGCTGTTTTTTTCTATATTTTAGAAATATTTCAACCAAAAATGATATTTGTACTCTTCCTAAGGATGCTAAAATCTTTTAGTAGAAAATCTTTGTCATAGGGGGAAAAAAAAACCCATGAAGAAAAGGACAACTCAAAGTGCAATCAAGAAGTTTTAATATTTAAAAGATACACACATATACACACAAACCATTGTTTGATGATTTCCACAAAGCACCATAAATTTCATAGGCCTTCCTGTTTCTGTTATCCCCAGCGTATCTCCCAGCAAATTCAAAATATTTTTCAAATTTTGCATCAAAAAGGTCTCTTTAGCACCAAGAATGATGAAGGTTTTATATAGCACCAAAAAGTAGGCCTGTAGCCTCATAACAACTATACACAAACGTTGTCCTTGTAACATTAGACGCTGGTTCCTCATAGAAGCACTTGAGGGAATTCTGCTGAGACAGGAATGGAGGCAAAGGCTCAAAGAGTTCAGTTCTCACATCTGGAAGCAATTCAGTACTAGAAATTCTGGTTGTTCCCTCTGGAGACATAGAGACGCCATGTGTTGCATATAGCCAACAGCTGGTTTTTAAACTACTACTTTGCAGAGAGAAGGAATTCAGATTGTTATGCAATCAGCTACAGTTTTCCCTGTATTTCAAAAACAGGCATCCCGATACTTCCCATAGCCTGCCTTACAAGGTTACCCACTGGGTCAAAATAAAAAGAAAGCATGTGCTGTCTATTTCTTTTTTTAAAAAAAAAAAATAAACTGAGAAGCCTCTTGGTTTGCAATTAGTTAGTTACCTGTGAGTGGAATAGGCAGCAAATGCATATAGCAGGGTCTGCGTATCTTCCTCATCTATACCCAAAAAATACAGTGCATTGTAATAGAAATTCTTTAGCATCCAAGTCACATTTTAGGAAGTGCTCAGTGCTTTACTTAAAGCAATCTTCCCCAAACTGGCATCTCCAGAAGTGTTGGACTGCAACAGATGCATTGGAGGTTGTAATCCTGCCTTATCTGCAAGGTACCAGGTTGGTAGAAGATGATAGATAGTATCCTGACCACAACTGTCCAAGGTAGGTCAGCATTATAATTCCCATTTAATAGATAAGCAGTGATTTGGGAAATAAAAGGGTGTGTATATTTAATGGCAGAGTGGAAATTGGGATTAAAAGGAAAAGAAATGTGCCTTTATATCCTCTTGAACAATTGTGATTTATCCTGCTGTGATAGAGAAAAAAAATTCTGGATGGACATTTCTGGTTGGAAGGTTAAGTTTCAGACCACTCTCTGAATGACTGCATGGATGATTCTTCCAAATGTTCCATTCCCCAAACAGCATTTTGCACTCGTGGGAGAGCAGGGGAATGGAAAACTAAGGAAGGAGGAGAATAAAATGCTCTTTCTTGGAAGAGAGTATGCTGGATTTTGAATGAGTATGCACTTTGCCATATTTTATTGCAGGTCTCAACATGTGAGAATCAAAAGTTAAAAGTTCCCTTTAGAAACTTTCATGTTTTTCCATCCTCAGAGTATCCTATTTCTTTTGTAGCTTTAGCAAGGGAATGCCAGCCTGTCTCCATATGTAGTAATGGCACTTCCTGCCCTCAATGAGAGAAGCTGATATGCAAGCCACTTGCATCTTTCTTTTGCTTATAATTCCTTGGGATCCTTTGCCCTTACAATTAATAGTTTACCCAGCTAACCAGTAGTGGCTTCATAGGCTACTTAGGCTTGAAGGGAAAAGATACTTCGGAGCATGGGGAGCATCATATAGCACATGTTGGAAATATCTTAAAACAGCTACATCTTTTCCTAGAAATGCAGTTGCAGCATGATCTCTGGAATAGATCTCTTAGCTTTAACAAGTTACTGCCAGGTGCTATGTAGATATTCTTCAAAAAATTTATCCCTTATAATCTGAAGCCCTGCCCAGCTCCAATCACTAATTTTATCACAGGCCATAGGTCAGATCACAATGATACTGAAGGAAACCCCACTTATTTTGCTCACATCATGGCCTTTGTGTGACCTGCCTATGGGAAAATCTATCATCAATCTAGGTCAGCTGAAGGAAAATGGATCCTGTTGTAAATACATTTATAGATTTGTTGCGATTCAATCAATTACAATATAATTTTAGGCACCTAGCATGGAACCTCTTTAGGAATCTTCTGATTTGGGGGATAAATTGGAAGTATTATTTCTACTCTTTTGCCACCAGGGCTAAATCCTAACCTTGCATATGTTTAACATAGTGATGGAAGCCATCCCTACAGTGTTAGTATAACATGTCCATTAGACAGATGCACAGATCACAGTTACATTTGCCAACCGTATAGAACATTTATAAAGGTAAATTTTATGAAGGTGATGGCAACTATCAGTCATACAAGGTTTCCCACCAGGAATTCTTAGCAAAAAGAAGAGGGGCTGTCAGACACTTGAAATGCCAAAATAACATATTTTGGCTGACCTACATTTGGTTTGTAGATTTGTAGATAAGATATGGTAACTTATCTCACTTGAGATACCTCAAAGAGTTTAGCTCATGTAAACAATCTAAATTAGAACATTCTGCTTAGAAAGTGTTATGTCCAAACAAAAATGTTTACAAAATGATTCTGAGTTAGCAGGTACAGGAATTTCATGAGGCTGTTTAGGATTTCCAGTCCATACCTTACAATCACATCTAGTGTTGAGAAGGACACATACATCAGCAAGACTTTTCTGGAGTTTTTTTGACCCATGAATATTTTTTTTTCAGTTGGCAAAAGAAAAAAAAAGTTTCTTCAGTGTTCTCTCTGTTTTCAGATCTGTTGGTCACTTTCTGTATTATTTGCAGACGTTCACAGGAAATCAAGAGGATGTTTAGAGGTTGAATTTGTGCTTTGGAGGAAAACAGCTATTCAAGACTGGGCTTGATCAAATAACCACTGAAAGTGATGTAGATATCCACATCGTCACTGTAGATGGCGTTGTCACGCTGTCGCTTGTACAGACGCACCCAAACCTCATCGTTCTCCCGTAGCTCCAGCATCAAACTCTGGCTTTGCATGATGCTGCGGTCACTGGGTTGAGCATAGAGAATGACTTCCTCTTGGTCATTCCGCATGACATGCATGTAGGTCTCCTTGAAATTCCAGGTGTGGACATTGAGACTGAAAAAATACAGGCCAGCCACGTAGCAGTAGAACTTACCCTTAAACATGTCAAAATGGCTATAGAGGTTCACAAAGACAGTGTCAAAGATCAAAGCCTGGTAGCCTTCATTACTGTGGAGAGCCTTCTTCCGGCCCACTGAGAAAGCTGCATACTGGTGCTTGCAGGGATCTCCAGGTGCCCCCATTTGTCCCTTGCTGCCCTTTGGACCCTGGGGTCCCCGATCACCAGGGGGTCCCTCTTTGCCCCATTTCCCAGGAACTCCAGACTCTCCTTGATCTCCTTTTTCTCCTGTGGAAAGAAGGAGAGGAAAGAAAGGAAGAAGCTGTGGAAGACAACCATTGCTTGTGGGTGGTTTCAAAATCCTGCCTTACAATGTATTTTCATGCATCTCTAGCAACCATAATTAAAGGATACTACAAAATTCCAGAAAGGGAGGTGGAACATAGGAGGTGATGTAGGATATGATAGAACACGTGGCAACAGATCCTGTCCTAAGGAGATGCTTGAATGACCCAGATGGAGAAGAATTTTAAGTTTAACCTGTATCTAAGTAAAACATACAGGCTACACTTTCTGTAGCAGGCCTCTGTTTTATCTCTATTAATTTTGCCGGAAGAAATGGCATGTTTTGGTCCTCACCTGTGCTAACTGTAGACTTTTTAACCAAATGAGACTTTATAGCAGAATTTTCCAACTTGTCACTCCAGATGTTTTGGACTTATTTCCCAACATGTTTGGCCAGTACAGCCGAGGGATATATGACTAAAGGTTTAATGTGGTCAATTATTCCTTCCCTAAATAAACATTTCCATGGTGGTTGACAGTTATTGGCTTGGGAAAGATGATGCACATGTATTTAGCACAATAATATGCATGACGATTTACTAAGGCAAATAAACAAATCACAAGATCCTGCCAGAGAAGTTTCCAATTTGATTTAGGTAAAGCGATGAAATGAGGAGGAAACAATGAGAAGGCAGAATGAGTCAGAAAGTAACAGATGATAATAGCTTACCTTTCAGAATTGTGATGTTAATATATGGACGAACTTCTGGCATTACGAATGGCAAAGCCCGAGATCTATCTGTACCAAAACTGGCTTCGGAGGGCCCAGGGGCATCTAGTGAATCACAACATCTCTTGCAACCATTCACGTTGGTAGGGACTTCTTGCCGGCCAAGCTCCTCACTGGGAGCCCCAAGCACAAAGAACGGGAGCACAAGAAAAGCCAGGGGCATGCTGATTTGGAAGGCTTTCATTGTGAACTGCAAGAAGAAAAAAAAAACAGTGAAAAGGACTGGACTCCAGAATGGAGCCACTTATTCAATGAGAACTGTTCAGAAATAAGAAGAAAGGCAAGCAAGCAGGCAGAATCCCCTTGCCATTGAAGTTTTACAGTGACCAACTTCATCCCAAAACAGCCGCCTTAAAATCCATTAGTTCTGATATTTATCTTTAACACATGAGAAATAGTCATTATCCCACTACAATATGCCAATCAAGGGGAAAATGTTTTGTGCCACACCAAACAATTATTCTGTAAATGGCTAATATCTCTACAAGTAACATGCCCTGACTGAACTTTTACATTTAATTTCCTTCTGATTATCTATGGCGATTCCCTCTCTCTCTCTCTCTCTCTCTCTCTCTCTCTCTTATTTTATTTTATTTTATTGAAAAGACAGTGCCATGTCAGGATAACAATCAGTGGTGAAATGTAAAATTTGTTACTACTGGTTCTGTGGGCGTGGCTTGGGGGGGTTAATGTGACTGGGTAGGCGTGGCCAACTTTTTTTCCTTTTCCTTTTTTTTTTTTTTTACTTTTAAAACCATTTTTCCTACAACCACTTCGGCAGATCAGGCAACTCAGCTGGGATCATCAGAGGCTTTTAAAAGCATTTTTTCTACAACCTCTTTGGCCAAAGAGATTGTAGAAAAAATGCTTTTAAAAGCCTCTGATGATCCCAGCTGAGCTGCGCAATCATCAAAGCCTTTTTTTTTACTTTTAAAAACATTTTTTCAGCCAAAGAGGTTGTTGAAAAAATGCTTTTAAAAATTAAAAAAAAAAATGCGCGGCTCAGCTGGGCATGTGGGGGGGGGGGTAGGATTTTTGCTATTGGTTCTCCGAACCACCCACCGCCATCGCTACCGGATCGGATGATCTGGTCCGAACCGGGAGCATTTCACCCCTGATAACAATGCAAATAATGTACAACCAAAGAGAGATCAATGATAAATAACATACATGCTAATAACTATAATTGTACTATGTTAACAGTAATTGCAACAATACAACCAAAAAAGAAAAAAGAAAAAGAAAACTTCAACTAAGTTTCTACTTACATTAGCTTATTTACAAATTTCTCCATATTATATCCATAGTTTTATACATCTTTGTTTTACTGATATTCATAAACTTCCCTCTCATTTCTGCCTCTTGTCTCTATCCATTCATAAAATCTATTCCATGTCCTGTAATATTTTGAGTCTTCTTTATCTTTAATTTTTAAAGTTAATCTGTCCATTGCTACACAATCCCAAATTTTCCTAATTATGTCATTATCCTGTGGGGTGTTCACATTTTTCCAATATTTAGCATATGTAATTCTAGCTGCCATCAATATATGTAACACTAAGTAGATGGTTGCTTTGTCATAACTTTCCAACAATATACCTAAGAGGCACGTTTCTGGTTTGAACTCAATATGTTGCTCAGTTATCATTTCTAGCATTTATGAATTTTCTCCCAGTAACTCCTTGCTTTCTTACATGTCCACCACATGTGGTGGTATGATCCTGGTGTCTGGTTGCATTTCCAACAATTGGCGGAGGAGTTTTTATACACTTTGGCCAATCTTGGTGGAGGCAAGTGCCACCAGTAAAACATTTTGTAAAGGTTTTCTTTATATGCCGCAGCCATCTTGAGTTTGTAGTTTCTCTCCCAAATTTTTAACCATTTTTCTAATTCTATGTTGTATCCGAAATTCCTTGCGCAGGCAATCATTGTTTCTTTAACTATTTCTTCCTCCATTTTATCTATGGCGATTCTCAGTCATATGTCGGTCATGATTGCCTCAAAGGTGCTTTTTTTTTTTTCCTTGAGGAAGACATTTTGCTTTTCATCCATGATGCTTATTCAGTTTTGACTCTGTTCCGAACTGAAGAAGCTTCTTGGATGAGAAGCGAAACAAGCAAAAAACAAAGTCCAGTTGCCTTTTGAAAAAGCACTTTTTGAGATTTCCCTCTGATCATCCTTTTTATTGTTCTTACTTTCCAGTCACTAATAATGCTCCCTTAGGATAACACTCAAAGCATCTATAAATTCAAAATGTTGTACAGGTAATCCACAACGTTCATTTAATGATAGTTCAAACTTACATTGGTCTCAGGAAAAGTGACTTATGGCCTGTCCTTAAAAGTTATGACCATCGCACCATCCCCTTGGTTACATGATTAAAATCTGGGTGCTTGGCAACCAATTCACATTTAAAATTATTGCTATATTTTAAATGGTCACATCATTGTGATTTGTGAACTTCCTTGCTGGCTTCTGACAAGTGGGAAGCAAGATTTACTTAACAATCATATGATTCACTTAACAGCCATGCGATTTGCTTAATGACCACAATAAAAATGATAGTAGCATTGGATCCAGTTGTGCGATTATTTGCTTAACAATCTCATTTCTTAGTGATCAAAATTCTGGTCCCAACTGTGGTCATAAGTCAAGGTCTACCTGTAGTTTAATAAATGTACTGATCAGAGGTGGTATTCAGCAGGTTCTAACCAGTTCTGGAGAACTGGTATCGGAAATTTTGAGTAGTTCGGAGAACCGGTAAATACCACCTCTGACTGGCCCCAGCCCCATCTATTCTCTGCCTCTCGAGTCCCAGCTGATCAGGAGGAAATGGAGATTTTGCAGTAACCTTCCCCTTGAGTGGGAAAGGAATAAAATTTTTACAGCATCCTTCTCCTGGAGTGGGGTGGGAATGGAGATTTTATAGTATCCTTCCACTGCCACGTTCAGCAAGCCACACCCACAGAACCGGTAATAAAAAAATTTGAATCCCACAACTGGTACTGATCCTGGAACTTAGTTTTGGGGGAAATAAAGAGCATATAAATTCCTTTTGTACAGATATTTTCTGCCTCCGTTCTGTACAAATTATTAATTGATGCTGTGATGGAAGGGAAAATGTTTATTTCTCAGTTGTACAATACAGATTGCAAGGTGATCTATAAACAAGTTATTTCTTATTGTAAATGCAACTGACTGTAAAACTGATCCCTGTAGGATGGATGTTTTTTCCTTCCATGTAGAGTATCTCTGAATGGAAATAGATATGTAAGATGAAAAAAACCACATTGGTAAAAAAATATCTCTAGCATTTACACCAAAGATCCAGTACTGTAAAAATCCTTTTCTATTATTTCTGCAAAGCCTCCTGATTTCCCTTGCCATATCTAGCTTGTTGAGGCAGTCTCAAAAAATTGGATGCAATTGAACAGAAGAAAATAATATATTGTTTTGGCCTTACAACTGACTGTCTGTAAATAGTTTAGCTGCAGAAATCCATAAAATGTGCAGTTATCATTTTTAGCTATAGTTGTTTAAAGTAAGCAATCCCTGAATTGAGCTCAATTCCTAGTAAAACGCATGGTCATTTCCATATAGTTTTCTTGACAGTAGTATAAAAGTAGATTGCAAGAACCTTATTCAAGGATTGGATTGGGTTGTTTTTTCCTTTTGGTTTGCCCAGGGTAGCCTTCAAAAGAATTAGTCTCTTTTTCCAAGTATTGATCAGGCCCTGCCTTACTTACCTTTCTAAGATCACCTTTGGTGTTGCTGCCCCCTAGTTCCCATCAACAGTTTTTAATTAAGGCTGCCCTTAAATAATTAACTTGTTTCACTGTCCTTTACCCTCACTTTAACCTGTACTTTAATTAAGGCCATGATAATATCTAGATTTCAATCTCTTCACTTTGATGACTTAAGCCCTGCTACATTTTTTTTCAGTGCTTTTGTGAAAGTAATTGTCCTTGGAAGGAACTCCTAGATGAAACAGCTGAATAGGAAGTAACTAAAATATTGATTACTGGTGAAGAGAAAAAGATGAGGAAATAGTTGCCCCAATTTCCTTAAACAACAATATTCCCTATCTTTAAATCAATGTCATTCTTTAAATTGACATTATGATAAATTTAAGTTATAAATGTTAAAAGTATTTTGAAACAGAGCAAAAACTTATTTGGAGTGATTTCTCCTCAGGTTATCTCTGTGGTAAATTGCTTACCTACTAAAGCAGTGGGCCTCAACCTTCCTAATGCTGCGACCCTTTAATAGAGCTCCTCATGTTGTGGTGACCCCCAACCATAAAATTATTCCTAAAACCATTGAAAATATGTGTTTTCCGATGGACCCCGGTGAAAGGGTTGTTTGACCCCCCAAAGGGGTCCCGACCCACAGGTTGAGAACCACTGTACTAAAGGATGCAGTTTATTGTAATTTTTCAAATAGGGCTTATCCATGTGGCTATCTTGTGGCATTTGAATGAGTCACTTATGGTTTGGGAACATTATGGAGCAGTAATTAGAATGCAGTATTGCAGGTTAACTGTGCCCACTGCCAGGAGTTTGATCCTCACCAGCTCAAGATCGACTCAGCCTTCCATCATTCTGAGGATGGTAAAATGAGGACCCAGATTGTTGGGGGCAGTTTGCTGACTCTGTAAATCATTTAGAGGGGGCTGTAAAGCACTATGAAGTGGTATATAAGTGTAAGTGCTATTGCTATTTCCCCATACTCAGACCTTCATCTTGCTGCAGCCCACTGCTGATGTTGAGCTGAGGCAGAGGTGGGTTTTAGCAGGTTCTGATCAGTTCTGGAGAACCAGTAGCAGAAATTTTGAGTAGTTTGGAGAACCGGTAGTAAGTACTCTGACTGGCCCCACCCCCATCTATTCTCTGCCTCCCAAGTTCCAGCTGATCGGGAGGAAATGGGAATTTTGCAGTAACCTTCCCCTGGAGTGAGGTGGGAATGGATATTTTGCAATATCCTTCCCCCAGGAGTGGGGAGGGAATGGGGATTTTGCAGTATCCTTACCCTGGAGTGGGGTGGGAATGCAGATTTTACAGTATCCTTCCCCTGCCATGCCAAGCCACGCCCACCAAGCCATTCCACATCCACCAAGCCACACCCACAGAACCAGTAGTAAAAAATTTTGAAACCCACCACTGGGCTGAGGCATGTTGATATTAAAGTATTTGATTTTCCCTTTTGCAACAATGTAATACCTCCTCCCTCCCTCAATGCATTGCAATTTGCATAGGGGAGATGGTTTTGATGGATGCCTAGGGAGTGTGTGGCTGCAAAAGAAGAGATAGGTCCCCCATGGGGCCCGCTTTCCTCACTGCTCTAGTGGCTGGAATCTGACTTCACAATTAGGCTGCCTGCTATATTCTGCAGGAACTCCTGGCCTACTAACCTTTCACAAAACTTTATTATTGTTATTTTTGTATATCTTTACCTATTGGCCAGAGTTGCTCTTCCCAATATCATTCCCAGAGTTATGCCTCTTTATATTCTACTGCAATACTCCTCAGCCTCAGCAACTTTAAAAAAAAAAAAACGTGTAGACCCAACTTCCAAATTTCCCCAGCACGATTTAAGATGCAGGACCTTCAATTCCTGGAAGTCCCCCAAATAGCATGCTTTAAGACAGAGGTCTTCAAACTTGGCAGCTTTAAGACTTGTGGAGTTCAACTCCCAGAATTCTCCAGCCAGCATAGCTGGCTGGAGAATTCTGGGAGTTGAAGTCCACAAGTCTTAAAGCTGCCAAGTTTGAAGACCTCTGCTTTAAGATATGAAGACTCCAATTCCCAGAACTCTCCATGCTGGGGAATTTTGGGAGTTCGAAGTTCACTCATCTTATCCCTGAGGTTGACAAACACGGCTCTTTTGGCACTCTCAACTTTTCTGCTTTCATTCTGGGACCACTAACCAAGCACTCCACCCACCCACTCCACCCACCCTCTGCACCCCCAAGATGTGCCTGAGGAGAATTCCCCCACGTATGACACTCATTCTCCACCAGTTTGGATTCAGTTCCCAGAGGTGCACAATGGGAAGAACCCAAATATAACGGGAACCCAAATAAAACGCCAGTTGCCCTTATTTCATGTCCCGACGTTGGTTATTATCATGCGCCTGTGTAGGGGATGCTGGAAGTTAACTCTTAACCTAATGGTCCCTTTTTAAGAAGGCGACACTTCTGAGGCGCTTAAAGAGTTGCTTTCGGTCCCGGGATGAAGCCATACTAATAATATTAATAATACTAATACTACTAATACTAATACTACTAATACTAATACTAATAATACTAATACTACTACTACTTACTACTACTACTACTACTACTACTACTACTACTACTAATAATAATAATAATAATAATAATAATAATAATAATAATAATAATAATAATAATAATGATAATAAATCTTCACTCTGAGAAAAGTCGGCGATCGCTCCGGAAAGCAGAGCTTACTTCGGGTTTAACCGAAGGGGCGGGAGGGGGGGGGCAGACGGGTATTTGGCGGATATGCAGTACCGCGACGGGGGAGGGCAGGAGGGACGCCGAAGCCGGGTGCATTTGATCACTGGCATTTGATTACCGGCGAGGAGGCAAAATCAGGAGAAGAAGGAAGGAAGGAAGGAAGGAAGAGGATTGCAATCTGCAGCCAGGACTGGCGCCCGCGGGCCCCCTAACTCAGCGCCACAACCGGGAGGCTCACCCCAGTGGAGATGCGCGTCGCCGCAGGTCCTTATAAGCAAGCCGTTTCTCTTTCCTCCGCTCGCTGCTCAGTCCCTCCTGCGCATCGGATGACCTCTGCTCGCGAAGCCCGGCTGCCCTGGGGTTTCTTTAACAGCTTCTAGCTGGCACACAGGCGCCTCCAACCACCGAGCCCGCCGAAGAGACTCGATCCCTTCTTCACGCTCCCTTCCCTTTTCTCCCCTCTTCGGGCTCCGCAGGGTGTTAGGTTTCGAGCGCCGTTAACTCTTTCCTCGGCGACAGGAGCCGTTTTCTCTCTCCCCCACCCCACCCCACGCCTCCCACACTCTTCTCCCGGCCTGGCCCATCTGCGCTTGCTCAGCGCCGTCCCCTTACTCTCTCTTCTGGGACGGCCGGAACCCGAATAAGAGGCGCTACGAAGAGCTCTTTAGTCCGGGAAGGAGAAGGACTCCTCCGTAGTTAACTGGAAGTTGGTCCCAGTAGCGGAGAACAGTCTTAACAGTAACAGAGTTGGAAGGGAGCTTGGAGGTCATCTAGTCCAACCCCTCCTTCTCACGCAGGAGACCTGTACTAGGGATTCGAACCGCCGAAGTGCCGACCTTTCTGATCTTAGTCTTAGCCACTGAGCACAGGATAGCAGTTGTGGTTGGGTGCAACCAAAATGGTTAGCAAATGGTGGTGATAATGCCAGTTATTAGCAAATTATTAGCAAAGTGGGTGGGTGGAGGGAGGAAAAAAGCTAGACTGAGGTGTCTATTGCCCCCTGATGTTATAGACAACTTTTCTAATCAATAAAGGTCACCCTTTGTATGTCAAGGTTGAAATGAGGGTGCTCTCTGAGCTTGGTTGTTTTATTGCAGACATTTCGTTAACATCAGATGACAATGATGATGATGATGATGCCTAGTTTGGCAAGAAAGCAAGCTCAGAGAACACCAAGGACCCCTAATTTTTCCAATCCTTCACCACATGGATGATGTTCAGAGATGATAGGACACAAGGCAGGGAAAAGGATAACCATTTATTCATGTGCCCCCATATCAGCAATGGGCAAGTTTGAAGCCCTGGGTTGCATGGCCTCATCATCTATTCCTTGCAGATCCCCAAAATTTTTGGAGTCACGGATGCTGAAATCCAACCAATCTGAGCAGAGAGAGCCACATGAGAATTATATTGTACAGTCTGAAGTAGGCTTAGTTAAGAGAAAAATATACACCTCCCCTATAAAACCAAAATATCCTACCCAATAGACAACATAAGAGCCCAGCTAATCAGTCCTCCTAAAATGTTAACTATCAGTCCTTGTCCTGACAGAAAAGTATGCCCAATTGTAGCAAGATGTGCTACAATTGGCAACATCCATAAGTCACCTACGGAACAGGCAAAATGGGATAGCAGTAGATAAAATGTGCTGCTACCCCTAAAAAAAAAAAAATCCCCCATGAAAAACAATTTGTCATCTGAAGCTTTGGACAATTTGTAATGCTACAAATTGGGGGCAGAACCACCATCCACAGCTGGCAAACTCCAGCTTTTTTATGTTTTAAATTGACCTTCAGTGAGCTATACAACTAATGGGAGAAGAAGAAAACACTTAATTTAAAACTGGAATATCTAGAGATGGTTTTAAGCAGCCTCAGCTGTGGGTGTAGAGGAGACAAAGTTAACATTTGACTTTGGCCTTATGAAATGGCATTATGGGACTTCCGGCGGTGACGTCATCGCGAAAGGGCGAGGAAACAGAGGCGCCGTTTCTGAAACCCAAAAGTTCTTCATTAGTTGCTCTTTAAGGGCATTCCCGAACTTGGAGGGATCGGGAAACGAAAGAGGAATTCGCGAAGACTCCTGGCATTGCGCTAGCGTCAGGGAGGACGAGCGATCAACCTCTTAAATTGGTGGAGAAGAAGTCGTCCTTTTTGGCCTTTTCGGCGGACAGGAGTGATGGCGCCCGCCTAAATTGAAGCAAAGAGTGGAAAGCAATTTCAAGTGATGGGCAAAAAGATCCCCTACAATAAAATAAAGACGATAAGCAGGAGACGCGCTACTGAAGTGGAGGAAGGAAATTGCAATTACGACACCGGCGGTATAAAGGAGAAAGGAAAGTGGATGAAATAATACAGCGTGGAAGAGAAGTAACTCATAGAATGACTAAGTAAATATAAGAGACGGAGAAGGAGTGCTTGAAGAAGATGAAGGTAGTTGAACTTGAGCGGAAGGAACAGGTTGCGGAATTCGTGAGCATAGAAGCTTTGTTTGGACTCTGGATTTATAACGATTTAAATTTAAAAAGGCTTGAAAATTGAACGCAGAGATTGAAATACCAGAACTCGAGTGGAAGGAATAAATTGTGGAATTTGTGAGCATAGAAGATTTGCTTGGACTTTGGATTTATAATGATTTAAACTTAAAAAGACTTGAAAATTGAATGCAGTGATTGAAAGACCGGGACTACTAAAATTGATATAGATAGACATAGATCACGATTTAATCTAAAAGGGAAGTGAATACTATTCTTGAAAAAAAAAGTTAATACTTAAAAGCTAATACATTTAATATTTATAGAATTAGAATTATATATAAGCAATAATTTATTTATAGATGTAAATTATATTGTGAAATTATAAGTGGTGATAAAAGAAAGATAAGGAATTACTGTTAGAGTGATTGATTGGAATTCTGATATGAAATAGTGAATGAGCTGATTATACTTTTGACATAGATAAATTGAGTGATTGAATAGATTGGTAATTAGAAAATTAAGAAAACTAAAAACTGTGAGTGATGAAATAAGTATGAGTAAATTGATTTGTATTGTGAATAGAAATTAATTGACTAAGTGGGGTAATTGGGAAATAATAGGAATAAGTCTTGTGGGGAATAAGTGGTTGTGTGGGGGAAAAGGAAAATATTAAGAAATAATCTAAAACTTTATGTTAAGATGGGAAAATTTTACATGAATATTGAAAATGTCTACAACATCCACTATAACAAAACAGGGAAAAAAACCTATAACAAACACGACAATAATGCCTCCCCACTACAACAAAAAACAATAGTTAGCATGGTAGGAAAAGAAAAAGAAAAATTGGAAATGTCATCAAATGTAATACAGAATCTGTTTCAAACGATTCAGGAGTCACTACTCAAAACACAAGAAAAAATAGCGGAAAATCTGGAAGAAATGAGAACTTTCTATGCAGAGATTAGAAATGAAATAGGAGAAGTTAAGGAGGACATTAAGACCATGAATGATAAAATTGGGGGTATTCAACAATCCATAGTAGAGAATGAACAGAGAATTAGGAAAGCGGAAACGAAAATAGATCATGTAGAACTAAAAGTAGAAGCAATGGAACAAAAAACTTTACAACTAAATAAAGAAATGTCAGATTCATTAGCCATTCTCAAAATGGAAAAGGCTTCATATTTTTTGCGCTTTCAAAACATACCAGAGGAAAAAGATGAGGATCTAGAAAAATGGTGGAGATCATTTCAGGAATGACTCAAAAAGACCAAAGGGAAATAAAAGGACAACTGGAGGAAACATATCGTGTACAAACAAATTATATAAGGAGGCATAGATTGGCGAGAGAAGTCCACGTTAAATTTTCAAAAAGATCTATTCGGGAGGAAGTCTACAGGAAATCCAGAGAAGAAACAGTGACTTATAATGATAAAGAAATTATAATCTTAAAACAGATACTCCGAAGAATAAGAAACCTACGGTAACAATACCAGTTTTTAACATCATTATTGATCAAGTATAAAATAATGTACAGATGGTTGCCAATAGAGGGGATCTTAATTACGTGGGAAGATAAAAAATATAAAATAGACACTCTAGAGAAGGCAAGGGAATTTCATAGCACACATTTTAGGCTGGAAGAAGAGCAGGAAAGTAAGGAAGAAACTGATAGTAGAAGTCAAGAAGAAGAGCAAAAAGAAACGAACTGAGAAAAAGAAATAAGAAAGAGGCAAGAAAAAGAAAGGGAGGAAAGAGAAGGTAAAAAGGCAAAGTCACGGATGGAAACAAGACACACAAAAAAACAGATACAATAGGCAATGGATGTACCAATTAAACTCTTTTTGGTAAATATTAATGGATTAAATGCTCCAAAGAAAAGAAATCAAACATTTACAAAACTACGAAAACTAGAAGCAGATGTGATATGTCTGCAAGAAGTACATATCCAAAAAGAGCATCAGAAAATTCTAGAAAACCCCAAACTAGGAAGACTATACACATTCCTGTCCCGAAAAAAGAAAAAAGGAGTAGTGATTTACATAAAAGAAAAAATACAATCTAAATTAATCTATGCTGATGAGGAAGGTAGAGTGGTGATGGTAGAATTAGGAACAGGAAGGAAAAAAATGTTAATAGTAGTGATATATGCACCTAATCAAAAACAACAGGAATTCTTTAAGGATCTACATATAAAATTAGCAGAACTAGAATATGAAGATATCTGTTTAATAGGGGATTATAATGGAATAGTAAATGTAAACAAGGATTACAAAACTGATAAAAACAAAAAACAAAAGAAAAAGGATATACTTCCAAAAGAATGTTTTAATATGGCTGAAGAATTAAACTTGAGAGAAGTATAGAGGGAAATACATGAAGGTGAGGCCCAATACACTTTTTACTCTCACCCACACAACTCGTGGTCAAGACTGGACATCGCCTGGATGACCCCAAATATCAAAACAGTGGTAGAAAAAATTGAGATAGGCATAAACCAATGGGCAGATCATAATCCATTCCTCATAAACTGGAAAGGGGAAAAGAAGTTCAGGAGATGGACGATGAATCAAAGAGTATGTAAAGAAAAATAATTTAATTTGATGTTAGAAAAGGAAATAAAAATATTCTTCCAGATAAATAAAAAAGAGGAAACTTCCTTACAAAATACATGGGATACTCTAAAAGCATATATAAGGGGCCTGGTAATTGCATATACGGGGAAGAAAAATAAAGAGAAGAAACAACAATTAGACAAATTAGAGAAAGACCTAAAACAAATAGAACAAAAATTGCAGAAAGAACCCCAAGATAAAACAATAAAAGAAGAATGGAAAATAATTAAACATCAACTGAATCTGATAAACCAAAAGGAATTAGCCCAAAAAATAAAAATGGCGAAACAAAATTATTTTGAATATGCAAACAAGACAGGCAGATGGTTAGCCTATAAATTGAAGAAAGAAAGGAATAAAAGAATGATATATCAATTGAGAGACGATAAAGGGGAAATCCAATATAAAAGAGAGGCCAAAAAAGAAATTATTAAGA